TCTCTCTCTCTCTCTCTCTCTCTCTCTCTCTCTCTCTCTCTCTCTCTGTGTGTGTTGTAATCAATAAAGTTGGCCGCCGCTCTGCACTGCTTTCGTACTGTGGTTACAGCTGATAATGGTATCGCCGTGAAAGCGGAGCTCCCACCCTCTTGTACCCCCTCTGGTTAACACTGTTCCTCTGTCAGCACTTTTGCCTTACCATCGTTAGCTACGAGACGCCGGCTCAACCGTCGCCATGTTTAGAGCCGTTGAAAGGCAATCGATGGCCCCAATCTTTAAAAACCTTTAAACCTATCAAATCTCTCTAGGTCTTTCACCCACATTGGTTTTAATAATAATATTATAGGGGATGCCACTTTATCCGGCAAATCAATTTAGTTAAATTGCTCGCAAAATTTGCATTCTCATGAGTGCTCTGTCTGATGAAAAGGTTGTGTTTGATTTTGTAAAAGTTATTGACATCCTCTCTTTCTCTAAAAAGGAACTAGTGGGCTAAATGCCTCTCAGCCATGTGATTAAGTCAGGCATCAGCATTCCTCGCCACTGTCGGAGACCCTTTGGAATGTGCAGCTCCCGGTGCCACTCCTTTTTTGTGTCCTATTAAATTCCTCTTGCCAGCCTCTTCAGAAGCACGGCATGTACAACACACCAACCGGCATCTGATAGAGCCAGTAGCTCTGCCAAGCACCACAGTAAATATTGAGCCGTGTTTATCAAGGCCAGGCATGAACTCTCTTTGAACTTTGATTGTAGCCATTACCAAAAAGCAGCAACGGAATATTATTGGCAGGGACTGTGAGCGTAGGCTGGTGGTTGGGCAGCCAGACAATTCGATTAATGTCTCTAACTGCTACCAGTTTCCCAGGCGTGTTTACTTTGGCATGAGATGGCAAAGCAGGCACTGGACTATAGGTTGGCTGAGTGGTTGGACTGACTGAGTGGTTGGTCCCATACTGAAAGGCAGGAATTATTTGCAATCTTGTCGCTACTTGATCAGGAGACTAAACCTGTCATGCTTGGGATAAGAGCATCAGGGAAAGTGAGGTGATAGCATGGTGGAGCCTCACTGAGCTCAAATGCAGGGCAATCCTTTTAGAAACTGCTTTTAGAGACACCTGATAGGAATATCAGACTGGAGTGACCACTTGTTATGTAACAAGAAGCCCGATAAGATGGTAACATGATGGGATTTCTTTGTGAGCAAGAAGTAAGAGAGACGTCAAATTCCACTAAACTTCATCATTCGTCTAAATGTGTTGTACTCTGTGACCCGGCTACAACTGAGCAGCTGGCCTTCTGCATTTTTATCAGCAGTTAGCAATGGACTGTGCTGCTGTTGCGTTCACTGTCATGTTTTAAAGCTAAGGTCCCTCGGGTCTCCATCTGCACACACAGCACCTAACACTGAGTGTGCAGCATGCTGCTGCTAACACAGACAACTGCTAAAAGGTTGAGCTACATGACCAACCGATATCCCAGAAGCTTTTCTCCGAGTGTGCACGGGTCGGGTGAGAAAACAAAAGTGTTGCGAAACAAAAACCGCAAGGGCATAGAGAAGTTCCTACAGGAGACGTATGGTTCTCTCAAAGGGTTTAGCAAACGGACATACTTTAAAAGTTAACAGTTAGATTTTATATGGAGTTTATAAGGAGAGAAAGCTAGGGTTAACTTTGCAATATTGTTGAGGTGACCTCCTGAGATAAAAATCCATAAATGGCTGAAAAGGACAGCTAATGATGCATCTGAATTTTTTAGCTCATGTCTTTCTCATTTGACGGCGCGATGGATATGCCCACAGCCTGATGGATGTGCGCAGCAGGTGGTCGTTCTCACAGTGGTGCAAAGCCCAATAGGATATCTAAAAATATGAGTGGAAATAAAGCATCCCAGGGGTCAGTCGGGTGGTGTTGGGTTGTCGATGAGGTGATGTGAAGGGTGTCGGGGCACACATTCCTCTTGTGAAATGAGTAGTAAATGACATAGTGGGTTGAACTATGTTTCGCTCTGAGAAAATGTTCGATCCATGAAGTGTCAGTAAAGCGTGTGCCGGGGGGGGGGGGATGGCTGCGCTCGTGTACGGTTATCCATAGACAACGATGAGTGGGCTTGTTTGTCTGTGTGGGTTTGGCTGTAACTTTGCTGGGGATATTTAATTGGATGGGATCACAAGTTGACTGCCGGAATGAATTTCTGATCTCTTCTATAAATACATACAGAAAATGATTGTTGAGCAATGTGCACTCATTCTCATCAGGTTTAACTACACAGAAATTCACCACTGTAGAAACTACTTTATGGAAGGATGCACACAGCTAGGTTAGTAATTAACCTGTTTGGACAAATGAACATTCAAGACTGCGTTCCTGTTTACTTGCAAAAGCCCTTGAGACCAATTAGTGCCGTGTTCTCTCACAGTAATCCAGCGGCTGGCTATTACCTCAGGGGCAATCATCTATAATCCTTACTGGTCAATATTTGTCAACCTCTTCTCTTTGGTTGATAGTCAGTGAAGAATTATTAACTTACAACTGCTAACATAACAAGTAAGTAAACTAACTGCAGCACTGAGACCTTCAGGTGACAAGCAAAATGCTCTTTCCTCATCTAAAATAGCTGGGAAAGAGCACAGAATAGCTTTAAATATCCTTAATTTGACGATAAAGGAAATAGCCGATTGTTCAGGATGTTGCCAGAAGAGAGAATTATTAGTGTGCCTTATCTTAGTCAATGAAGGGTATTACTTTCCCTAACTACCAGCACTGAGCCAATAGCATGCTTTGCAGTGTGCTGCAGCTACCACGGATACAGCAAACACAGCAGTGAGATATATCACAGTCACCACTTTGGCTGCATTCCAGAATTAATGTAACGTGGGCAATTGCCAAAAAATGATGCTTATGTCATCCACTTTTCTGCAGTAAAACAATGAGCACAGTCCCACTCAAGGGGTTATAGAGAAAATGTTAATTACTACAAATGAATAAAATGTAGATTAAAGGAACACAGAAGAATCTTTCTTCTCGAATGGACAATATGTCACCTGTTCCTGTGGTATATTATGAAATGCACCCATGCTGGGACATCTTGCTGTGTTTGTGGTAATGCTAAGTCATCAAGAAAGCAGATACCACTCCATTGAATAACATGCAAACAAACAAGATGTACAAGGGGAAGCTTTGTTGTGTCTTATCAGGGATTCTGTGAACTATGTGTTCTGCAGGGCAGAACCACTGAAAATTAGTTGAAGAAAAAGTCCCCACCAAGAACTGCGACTGAATTGTTCTTGGGAAAAGTACAGGGGGGGGTTCGTTCCAAAAAAACTTGTCAACATTGGATTTTAATCCCCAGTTAAATATAGCAGGAGCTGCTTCAGAGGCATCGCCTCCCCGTGGCCCCCGTTGTGGCGTTCAAGCACGTCTAATCTCTTATGTAACAACGGGGCATTCACTACTGTGTGGTTCCTCATTAGTAGTAATTCAATAGCAACACAACAAATGGTGTTCACGGAAAACATTAAGCATTGCTTTGTTCAGTCATTCCACTTGGTGCAGTTTTTGCAGAAAGTGACAAAAGGGGGCATTTTCATTTAAGTTGAGAAACCTTACTCCGAACAACTCACCGTTTGAACTGACAGAAATGCAGTCTTGACAAATATCCCATATTTGTTTTTTCTTATGTGCATGGTCGTGACCATCTTGTGTCCTCGTATTACTTTTCATTAGTACAAGCTGATCCAAATGAATTCTTTGCATTTCCCATGACGCCACAAAAACCCAGGTTTGCGTGCCCATACACAAACATGCACACGAACTAGGGCATTTATTGTTACCCAGACTGAGACAGGAGCAGATTAAGTTTACATTTGAATTAGATACTTACATTTTGCATTAGCAGATGAAACCAGAGGCACAAAAGGCTGTAGTTTTGTTTATTTAAATGTTTATTTTCTTATGCTACATGCCCACTGTCCACCAGAAAGTGTTTGAGGAATTGCTTCTTGCTTTGTGATAAATCAGATTAATTTGTAATGTATTTTAAAATTGTGTGGTATATTTTGTCCTTAGTCTAAAAAGAACCACCCTGAATGCACAGACTTAAAAATACAACGGTTTTAGAATTGTTGCCCCACTTTCCCTTTGAGTACAGTAAGTATGGATTGAAAAGCCAGACAACTGTGCTAAAAATATCCCACTTCAACTGGCACAGTACATTTGGGGTGAATTGGAATTTAGCTACCCAGTGACCCAATCAAAATCATCAATGAATATATCTAACAGACAACAAAAAAAGGCATCGACAAACCTGGTGGCTGTGAGAGGGAGAGAAAAAGCAACATAAAACCCATCACATTAAAAGTAAACTTGAACCCTCACAGTTGATATGCACTAGTTTTGTTGTTGGTGCTGTTGAAATTATAAAAAGGTCAACGCAGGCAAAGAGAGGACACATTTGAGCTGTGTTTATCCACCGTGTTCAGCAGACCTCTTGCTGTTCATTGGGTCTTTCTGAAGGTGAGAAGTCAGGGCAACGGCACCAGCTCTCAGCAGGGCATTTATACTGCGTGCACTGTCTCCTTGCAGAGCTGGCAAAGTCTTGCTAATTAATCTTAAATTAAAATGCCCTCCACAACAGTGTTAAACATGGTGTAGGATCAGTGGTTTGCTGATTTAAGTTCAAGATCTCATATTCAGTAAATTATACAAATAATCAGATTGAAGCTTACTTTGTAAGTACACTTGACAATTAGACATATTGAGTGGCAAAAATTAATCGCATCCAAAATCCAAAAGTCAATGAGCCGCTATTCTGCAGAAGTCATTCAAAGGGCATGACAGGCGGGCAATGATGGGTCAGTCCAATAATACATAGTCATTTTTTAGACTTTTGGCTCAGAGTAAGGCAGAAATGCTGACAGGGCGCAAATTGTCAGATTCAGCAGCTGGATTGCAAGCTATCCACCGAGGTCAGAGAATAAAAGTTTACATTTGTGGAACTTGTTAAAGACCTGATCTGTTAGAGCTGTCTGATCCATAATTTATAGGGGTATATAAGATATTCAGTGGCAGTACTTCAAAGCAAGGAGGCCTACAGCCAGGTTGGGAATGCCCAACATCATAATGTGAATCTTTTCTCTGTCGGCCAAGAGCACCACACTAATGACAAAAACTTTTTTTGTTAACTGAGTCATACAAAAATTAGCAAAAACAAAATAAAAAAAATGATATATATTAATATATATATTTTAACCTCAGCCCTTTAAAATGCCTGAAGGTTGGCTGGTTTATTTTATTATAGTATAGGGTTACAAGGTAAGTTTTTACACCAAGACCATTTAAGCTCACATCCCTCAAACTGATGATTATCACACTCTCAACTTTTTTATATTTTAAGAGGAAGCATTATATGTCCCTCAAGGAAATGTGTGGGGGAGGGAAATGACATTGTCTCCTCAATGGGCCCTTTCAAGTACTTCCTGGGGAAAGGCTGAACCATTCTGATACACTGTGACCCCTCGCCGCACACTTGATCATTGTGTACAGTTTCCTCAGCCTTAATGAGTGACTGTGCCGATCATTTTTTTTTAAAATAATTATTCCTTTAACACAAACTTTGTTGGACATATGACCTGATTTTAGGGGTTTCATAGAAGGTGACACAACACGTGACTGATATTCAGTAAACATTGCAAATTAAACGGTCAAATATTGTTTTTAAAGCCAGTGTGGAATCTGCAAAAAAACAAAATTAAACACATCCACAAAAGGAATTCTGAATTTAAGAGTTTAAGAATTTAAAAGTTTCAAAGACAAATGACCTAGTAAGGAAGAGTGCTGGTAACAAATATCATACAGATCCTCCCTCCATAGCAATCAGACAAAAGCAACCTGATCATCATGTGTAATCAGTCATGTTGGCTTTATTAAAATTGCGTTGGACTAGATAAATAGTGGCTATGTAAATAATTACCTCATATTCTCATGTATAATCAGGATAGCCCAGAGTCATTGCATATTTTAAGATTTGTATTACCTATGGTAGAAATATTTTGGGAAATAAATGAATGAAACATCAAAAATATAATTTATGATCTCAAAATGATATATCCATATAAAATGCCCTCTCTTTTGGAGGCAATCCAAACTACTTATTTTAATTAATATAATCTTTCCAAAAAAAAAAAAAAAAAAAAAAAAAAAAGTGGTCAGCTTGCTGGGGGCCTTGAGCCATGAAACACGATAGGGCTGTGGCACTCAGTAGTCTCTTGCTTCAAAAAAAAAAAAGGGGAGAAAAGCTCTAATTGCACATCTCTCTCATTGCTTTCTTTATATAACAGGATCAGGCAGATGGTGTTTGGGTAACAAGAGCCTTACATCACTTTCCTCCGCTCTCACTTGTTCATAATCATCAGGGTTATAATAGTCATCACACTGTTGGGGTTCAACCGCACAGTAAATGTTAATCACCCCTCAAAGTGTGTGTAGTCACTGACCACCACACTGCTGCAATGCATACTTCATACGCACTGCGTGCAGATATTCGATCGGTAGTTTTTGCATCCCTCGATGCAGGAAGAAAACATATTAACTATATATATATATATATATATATATATATATATATATATATAAATGCTTTTAAAGTGTTTTTTCCAGGTTTCGAAAGACAAGCTACTTGTAAAGAAATGTTTAAGGTACAATGTTGCAGTTGTAAAGTAAAACTACGCAATGTTGTGATCTAACTCTAAACCCCTGCACCATAAAGAAACATTATCGTGTCTAGTGTTGGTGCGCGCGTGTGTGTGTGTGCGCGTGTTGCTGTGGCAGTGGTGTACAGTAGCATGGCAGACTGCAGTAAATACACTGTTGAAGAGGCGGGGTTTGACATCTCAGCGCTGAAAACATCTCTAATCCAGTATTTCAGGTGCCGAAGTCGACCGAGCGACCATTGCTCACTACCGCCGCGCATCAGCGAACTGCAGCAGAGCCGCGCACGCCTCATGAGGAATATATCGCAAGTGGACCGAGACGGCTGCTGTGTCCTAAGTGGGATTTTTCTAAGAGAAAATAAATACTAGAAACGCCAGAAGTTTCAGCGGCGTGGACGCAATACTTTCTTTCGTGGGTGGCGTTTTAGTTTCCAGCGCCCGTCACTGCCTTGAAGTAACGTTACATGTGAACCAGCGACTCCTTCGGCTTCTCAGTCCCTCCCTCCTCTCCCCGAAACTCCAACGAAAATACTTCAACTCTTGCTCTCGCTGGAGGATTTTACCGCACTTCTGGTTATTTTTTTCGGTCCGAGGTGAGTCGCTCTTTATTTGAGTTTGAGGCAGTTCTTCAAACTTTTGCTGTTTTTTTTTTGGTTTAGCTGCAGGACGTGGGGCGGAAATGTAGTTTCACCTGGAACTCAGGTAAGTCGGAAACCAGGTAGGCCTAGCATTAGCTCTGCTTCTCGTTGGTCAGGTAGCTTTAGTTAGCACATGTATTAAGTAATACAATGTGGTGTGTAAATATTTAAAACACCACAAGACCTGTCTATTCATTTTTATGGTTAATTTCGATTTACAGGCAGACCATATATTAAATTTTCTTTAAAGAAAGTCGTCCGTAGTTTCATTGTTGTGGACAGCTAGTTAGCTACGTGTCCGGTTTATCATTACATATTTAAAATATGTATCTAGCGCAACGAAAACGAGGCTTAAGTGACTGCTCACCTCGTGTTCACTTTGTATTTTTCCTTAAGTCTGTTCACATGTGTATTTACTGACTCAAAATGTCAGCTTCCCTTTATCTTTGAAGGTGTTCACATCATGATAAACAAGCACAGTGTGAGCTGAACTGCCAAGTCTCGTGTTTTGGTTGTGGACTGAGAGGTTTCACGTTGCGTAATTCTTGCACACCCTTTTTTATTTTTAATATTCGAACAAAACATTCAGAAGTTCAGAGGAGAGCCTCCTTTGCTGACTCTCGTCCCGTGTACTTATTAAGTACACATCTGGAGAAGACCCCTACGCAGCACACCTCAGACCCATACGCACAGTGGTGATGAAGCAGTGAGATCATCATCAGGCCTGTAGACGTCATGCACACTCATCCTTTATGTTGAGGGCTGTGGAACATTTCCTTGAGGACTGAGGTGGTGGACTCAGTGTGGAGGCATGCTGAAGAACCAGTTTTGACAGTAAACCTTCTGTCGCCACTTTGTTTTGCGAGCGCGTGGAGCAAGAGTTCTTGGAGTGAGTGTGCTGTTATTGGGTATTGATGGCTCAATTTACCATGTGTGGATCTGCTTTCGATGAAGCCACACGCACTTGACTCAGGGGTTTGCATCTTTACATTTAGTTGCAGTCATTTATTAATAGATAGGTAGAGACATAATATTATTTTTGAAGATGACATGTTATTTATGATGACACTTAATAGTTATTGGCAAGCTGTTGTAAAGTGTGTGTGTGTGTGTGTGGGGGGGGCATTAAGGAAGCAATCGTAAAAGTGGAGAGGAGGATGTTATTTTTCAATCAGATTCTTTGCAGTATGGGAACCTGTGTTCCCCCTCTTCCTTCTGTAATCATGGGTGACTCAGTGTGGTGTGGGTGACCTGTTCAGTTTCACAGGGTTGAATGCGGTCACCGTGTGCTGGAAAGTGGCAAGCCTTTGAGCAGGAAGCCCACACAGGAAACGACCGCTGCATTGTTGCCTGAAGGCTTAAACCATGTCTGCAGTCCGTAGGGAATGTTACAGTCCAGTTTCACCGTTTCTAGTGTTTCAGCACGCAGGGGTCATGTTGTATTGCTTCTTCTCGGTACGTGCAGGGGCTACTTGTGCTTTGTATATTTTCAGACGCTTGTGTGTTTGCCCTGTCCCAACTTTTAATTAAAATCAACAGACTGAGCCTAAATGCATCAAATCACAGCAAATTAGAACATTGTGTCGACAGTGGAGAGGAAGTGAAGAAGGAACCAAGTTTGTCAGACACGTAGTTCACCACTTTAGAAGGAAAACACAGATAAAGTGGGAGACTGTCACCTGTGAGACTTCTCTATAAAAATGTGACTTTGTTCCTGTGTTCACCATATAAGTCAGACATCTAAGAAGTGTGCATAACTGCATCCAAAATATATATTTTTACTCTGTCGAATTTAACATGTAAAACGACCACATGTTAATTGTCAAGTTGTAACAGTGAATGATTTTAAATTCAGTAGCATAACTAACTAAGATAAGTACATTTTATAACAAGTTCATGTAGCAATAGGAGCAGTGCAGCATTTGATACATTTGGATACCTTTTGCTTTTTCACAGACTTTAGGGCCACAACACTTCCCGGGTAGTTTTCCGATGTAGCGGTTGTTCATAGAATTAGTTTGACATAAAAGCCTGTATCTTAAAACATTGTTTGTTTGTTGCTCTAGCGATGCTGTAGTTTAATTTTAGAAACCATGTAATCATATTATCAGCCAGCAGTTTACATACACAAGTGTAGGTGTGAATTAGACAGCAAAATATATTTTTTTTTCCATTTTACAACTTTCATAGGTCACAAAGTATGTCTCATCCTATCTCCAAAATGATCTGTCTGAAAGTAAAATGTAATTATTTACACGTTTGTCGTCGTTTAAAATAAGATATTAGAATCCATTAAAACTCAATAGAGGACAAAAGGATGCACAATGCTGTGCTGCCATGGGAGCCGAAGTCGCTGTTGAATGTGATCTCCAGTAAGGAAAAGCCATTCATCAACAGTGAGTCAGAGTTGAGGAGTAACGCGGGGGAACGCTCTCAGTTGTCATGTGGGAGGATAATTCACCAGCTTGACGGAAAGATATATTGATCTGCATTGAGAAAAAGGTTGGGCGGACATCAATTTATCTTATAGTGTCTCAGGAGTTGTAGAGAGGCTGAGTGTTGCACCGTGCGGTGGGGCAAGTTGTGTTTTATTAAGGAAAAGGAGAATTACAAATTTATTTAAAGGCTATGTATGACCTATAAAAAATGTTATGCATTTGTGGTGTTTGAAAGAACTGAGGTAGAGAGAATTGCCGGCATCATTCTGGGTAACAAGAAGTGAACCTGTGAGCTAAATTGTTCCAACGGAGGCCTCTTCACACACATGCTCTCTTTGTGCTCCACGTGTTTCCATTTTCACATCTTACAGACCTGTCTCGATTGACCACAGATTGATTCATCAGCGACTCTTTTCATTACCATACAAAGGAGATCAATTGAATCATTCTTAATGAGGCTATCCGTCAACGGATCACTAATAGATAGATTATAGCAGCAAACATGCCCGCCTCTTGCCAAAGGTGCTGATGCACAGCACACTCTTTGGCTGATTGCTCCAAGGTGCTAGCCTTAGCATCGTCCGTATGACGAGGAAAAAGTCACTCCTGGTCCTTGCCTGACAAGTCTGAGCAAGCCTTTGTTTATAGAGGAAGACTGGACTTCCTGCACTGGTGCTGCTGAGGGGGGAAAAAGCGAAATTACTTTTTTTCTTCTGGCTTCTTAAAACATTCTTTAGCAAGAAACTGCTCCCCACCAACCAACTATCCTGTGCACCAGCTTTTTTTTTTTTTTTTTTTAGCAGTATCGGTAATAAATGGAATGAACAATTCTTTCATGTTTTATGCTATGTTGTGCAGCCTGTTGCACTCATATTCTCTGGAGCTGCAGTGATGGAAGAGAAGATGTATCTGTGTAAATATACAGGCATTGTTTTATAGACTAGGTGGAAAGAGTATACCAGTGTTCCCACTGTGCAGGGGTTATCTGGTTATTTTAGTAAAAGGATAAATGTCTACACAATGAGTTGAAGCACTTGATTCGTGTCCTATATTTAAGTGGTGCTTTTTATTTTTAAGTATTTTGCTTTGATTTTGTATAATTTACCTCCTTGAATTAAACTTTTTGCTGCAGTCATGACATCACATGATTTCATCTTATCTCACACACGCACTGCTCTTTATCTTACAGTGTTGCATTCGATTGAACCCCCCCCACTTCTTTCATGTGTTTGAGCTCATAGCTGAATTGGAAACCCAGACGTATCTGGGTCATTTGTTACCCAGGAAGTACCAATGTTAGGTTTATTAACGTCATATAACAGATCAGTGTTGAACAAAGAACTGACTATCGTATGAAGATAAACCCACAGGGGTATGTGAAAACCAAAAAATTGGACAAACTTGTGAGGATTACCCAAAAATAAGGAAATCAGCCTGAAGAAAATGGTTTCATTCACTAAGACTTGAAACGGAAGGGTGTCAACAGTCTTGGCTTGCGTTGGGTAATGACACAAACCTGGCTTGAGGACAATATCGTGACCAGCTGAGTCATTTTTTCCACTTAGGTTTATAAACAAGGAGGCCAATACATCACATGGCTGCATTCAGTTGAAGTCAAGTATGAGGGATCTGTTTTCCATTTTTGAGAATTGGTCTTTTATTGAAAAATCTTAAAACAGCAGCGTATGAGATACAGGAGAAACAGCTCCGTAGCCGCCTGCTCAGACGATGTGCGTCGGTATTTCCAGCTCTTCACTTTCCATCTGCATACCTGCTCGCAGTGTGTGTGCCACTTTAACCTCTCCGGATTGTAACTCAGCCAGTCCATGTCTATAAATGTGCGCCAGTCCTGCAGTGCAAAAACTGCATGGGGCCCAGTCACATGATGTTGTCGGATGAAAAGTGTCATGCTTAATCTGATAAGCCCGGAATGTAGTTTTAATTTCTTGTGGCGGAAAAAACGGATATGGCAGAAATGTTACTAAGTTCTCCTCAGCAATAGTCTCGTATCACAACGGGAGATGAAATAACAGTGAAAATCATGTTTGTTATTGTCAAGTGAGTGCAAACACGTTAAAAGGAAATGTAGTATTATATTCAAGAGGTAAAAAATGCTACTCTTTGCCCTCAGGTAATCTTTTCAAGAGAAAATCATGTCATTGAATTGTAGTCAGCAAGTGCCAATTCTGCTCAGACTAAAAGATAGCTTAACATGAGCGAGCCTGGCAGTTTTTTTTTGAAGTGGACCACCGAAATGCAACAATATTTCTAGGACCGGTTGTCAGCAGTGTCACAGTACATGCTTTGGCTGAATGTTTCCCATGCCATCAAGTAGACCTTGAATAATGTGGACATGTGATGTTGATGTGTGGTATCGCCTTTGCTCGTTGGCAAATGGATATAGAAGAGATGCCACATGGTTATGTTGGCTGGTTGTACCTGTTTGTGGGAATTGTGATGTCATGGAGTGATTGAGCTGTCTTAAAGTAATAGTAATAATTGATAAAGTGCAATAATTATATATAATTATATATTATCCTTTTATTGTATCACTTCAAGAGCTCAATCACTCCAGGACAAGAGGTAGAATATGAAAATAATATGTTAAAGAAATACAGTTTTTTACTTCGTGGATACTCTGTATGTGCCAGGAGATGTCTCATGATGAAACATACAAATGGTACCGACACGTTTGGGCATGTGATATCGTTAGTAAAGGTGGGCCTGAAACTAATCCAGAAACGGCAGCTCTTAAGCAACTGTGAGCTTAAGTGATTGCTTTGGAATGCTGATTGCTGTGGAGTCCAGACACAAAGTCCAGAGGCAAAGACCTGAGCCTGTTTTAGTTCATGGCTGTAAACTATACGCGTAAGTACTAAACTTCAGGTTGCACCATTGACTTGCTGTAAAGGTGACATTGTTGCAACATCATCATCCGTTGTGGATTGCTGAAATGGCAGGATGGAAATGTTGCCCGACTGGTTTTGGCTGAAACTTTCTGTGCTTCTGGAGGCTGTCGCAAGAAGGAAGTTTCATTGTTTGTGCAAAGTAGGGCAGTATTTGTTTTGTCCTCTCACTGAATAACAAAAGGTTTGCGGTTCATTCTTTAAGGTTGTTTTTTTTAGGTGTCTGGGTCTAAAAGAGGCTGAATCACCGTGGGTCACACAAGGAACCTTTGCTCATTTTTGCTGAAAGTACATTTGCTTTGACGCAACTTCAGTTTTCCATAAAGACGCACAAACAAGCTTTGTATAATTTAGAATGACATGAAAGAATATCCCATACAAATGTTAATAAGCACATTAGAACGGACAGGCCGTGGCTGTGTATTATGTCCCCCTTGGGGCATTTGTTATCGTACTAACCTAGACACTGCTTCCACTGTCTCACTCAGCACAAACGTATTCATCCATCAAACCTCTCAAAGTAGACTGGGTTCAGCGCTGCTTTAGTAGGGTTTTAGTGGAGTGCAAGCTTCATGAATTGAACTGCATCTGCAACGGTCTGTTTATAATGTCCTCCACTGCTCATCTCATGTTAGAAATAGGTCAGGCCAGTACTCTTTTGTAGTCAAGTTCAGAAAAGAATGACAATGCCAGGAAAACCGACAAAATGGCACACAAAAGAAACTTGAGGCACTATTTTATGTATGGGCATTTGAAATCCTCAGGTCACACATTTCTGTTTCAGTTTGGCCTCACATCTGGAGCTGCAACTGCAAACTTGACTGTTTGAAACGCATTGCAGTGTAGTTATTTCACAATAGGAACACAGCTGTATAGTACATCCATAGGGCAGCAGAAGATTAATCAATGGCAATTATGATAAAAAACATTTTTTAGATACAAAGTAAACGTATATAACATGTTCTCATTTACAATTTCTCAAACTTAAGATGAAGACCTTTTTAATTTTCCGATTGTTGTTTTAACAACTTTAGGCTGTGGTTACTACTGACAAGTATTTCTCCTTAGTTTGTATTGACTTGAGTCTAATGAAAAAAATAACAGATTAAACAATAACGAAATTAATAAAGTTATTGCATTCCAGTCAAATTGAATATTAAGAGGTTGGAAAGATCAATATTGAGAGCTGGGGAAGACGTGTCAGTAGTGACAGGAGGCCTTTAATGTTGGCGGTTGCCTCCTCCTTTCTTGCTATTCTTCGCAATAATCATGTACATATAGAAAATGAATATGAGCTAATTGTAGTTACCGTGTTCATACAAGGCCTGCTCCAGGTCAACATTACCTTTGTTTCCTTTAAATGTCTCTTGGCTGTCGTCATCTATTGTTTGGTAAACTGAAATAATTCTGTCTGAATGTTAATGTGCAACTTCAGCTGGGGGGCCGGCTTTAGTTTGACACGCCCCCAGTGCAAAGGGTGTTTGTAAAAGTTAATATGTAAGCTTTGTTGACCTCTAACCTAGGTTGAGCAGAGATATGGAGACTGTAGTAGTAGTAGTACAGTCCAGTAAAGGTAATTTCTTGACTACAAAATGTTGTGCGGTGTAGAGAGTGAACATACTAGTGCTCGCATACGAGAATAATAAAAGCAGTAAATGGTAATAAATTCTAAACTGTCAGCTAAAATCTAATTTAATCTTGCTTTCTCTCTCTCTAACACAGCCCAGCCGTGTTTCCTGTGCAGCCTAGATCAGTGCTTGCTATGGATGGACCTCTGAGAGGGACCATTCAGTGCAGCTGCACATCTTGAATAGCATCAGGATCATGTGGCAGAATTATCTCTTCTGACGCCGTTTGTTCAGCGCCATCAAGACTGCAGAATGACCGTGGCATGCAACTCCGTAGTCAAAACGCATCTTATCATAAGCATCAAAGGCTTCCCAAAACAAAGACTTGGATTATAACCTTTTTTTTCTGTTGACTTTTTAGTCCTCTTTTTGGGGGGGGGGGGGGGGGGGGGGG